CCACCACAAAGTTTTGGGGATGCTCGAGCATTAGCTCAGCTACTGTGACCGATCGCTCAATCTCCTGAACTCTGCCATCCGGTAGCACGATTTTTCCAGCATAATGGCAAGAAGAGGAAATGTAGTTTCCCATTGCAAGTAGAGATCAATGAGGACTACAGGGAGTTCAGAAGTAGTTAGGCTCTATATAGAGAGGGAAGCCGTGACGAGCGTGCGAAGACCGCTTGTTATTTATTACAAGAGTTGATGTTGTATGTGTTTCGTGTGTGTTTATTTTGAATGAGCGCATGCTTTGAGCTGGTCCTGTGACTAAATAATAAAGAAAGGGGGGGAACTTTCAAGCAAATGGAGGGTTCGCTGAACTGCTGCATCTAGTTTTAGATGTGGGCTCAGTGGACTTTGGAAAAGGACTGAGACCTAATTTAAGGTGGGACCCAGAAACTGAGTATGTGGCGGTCCGGTGTTGGCGCCTTTTTGGTGTTTGCTGTTTGTGTGGAATTCAGATGGAGCCGGTGGAGTTTGGAGTAAGTTTGCTGAGTGTGGAGAGCTTTAGGGAACGTAGTTGAGAGGGTAGACTGAAGACTTCGGATGGCGTTTGTTGCTATTTTTATTGCCATTTTTTATGTGTTAGTTAGGGGAAGGTTGATGGATCAACTGAAGCAAGTTTGATGTGGTTTTCTAATGGCTCAATTAAGAGTACCATAATACAAGGGATCTGTCTTGGATACTCCTCGTTGTTATTTGAAGGAACATTATGCTTTAAGCTTCTTTTTTTTGATTGTATGGAAATATTTCTTATGTGTTAGCTTGAAAGTGTTTTTTCAAAAAGTTGGTGGCTTGTGTAATCAAAATTTTGAGATTAATAAGTGGAGACCAATAATCTAGTTCAAATTATATTTCAATTTAATAATTTAGAGATTTAAGTAGTTTAGTTATAGAAAATAAAAGAAAATAAACTCCAAAGTCAAATAGGTTGTGACAATGTTATATCCTATTAATCACGTCTGAACTTAGAATACAAATCTTATCAAAATAACTACTCCAGAGTGAGAAGAATTGAGCCATAAAAAGAACCTTGATCATGTTGGTATGTTCTAATAAAGTTTATACTCCTCAACTCACAAGACTAAGTCCAAGTCAGGACGGTTGTTTTATCTCTCCTATTCATTGATTCAGTAATCCCCTAAGGCTAGAGTTATAACGACATTGTTTTTATCTCTACGCATTGGTTCAATGATCTCTACTGGAGCTGTAAAGCTAGAGTTACAATAAGAATCTCTCTTGAATCGGGAAATATGTCCATGCGCAGCTTGCGCGCCGCATATAAAAGGATTCGGCCTTCTAATTCAACGTTGCAACAACTGAAGTCCTTTGGGCAGCATACATTAATTATAAGCTACGAAAATAGCTTATAAGCCACTTTGAACGCTTGTCAAACACGCCCAGCATCCAGAGAAAGCGTGGGTTGTTGCCGAGAGCGCGTATAAGGAGCCCAGGACAGACTGATTCCAAGACCATAAACACCTTTGAGCTCCATTTTAAATTGATTTCAATCTAAACAAGTTTGTCAACAGCATGCAACATTGATCACCTCCGTACACAATTCCAATTATGCCAACTAATCAAATCCCTTATTGGATTGCTAGGCTAAACAAGAAGACCACCAAATAAAAAGTCTGAACCTAGTTGCATTCGGCTATAGTGTCAAGCACCGGCCTCCAAGATCCCACGCGACGGGGACCACCCACCTGCAGCTGCCCGGAACACCCCGTATCCTTCTTATCGGGTACGACTTTAACTCTACTCGCACCCAAACCCGGCATCCTCTTCTTCATGACCCCTTTTACAGCGTCGGCTAACCCGTCATCGGCCCGATAGCTCCTGTTCAAAAGCACGTAGACTTGCCCGGGCCTCAACTGCTCGTCGGCCCTCATTCCCTTCGTTCGTCGGGCCAGCAACAGATCTTCTGCACGCGACACGGTGTGGCCCGGGAACTCGATCATGAGCTCGGCGACCGATGAAGGGAGCTTGAGCCGACGGAGAAGGATGGCGCCTGAGTCGACCATGATGAGTTTCGCGGCGAGGGGGCCGCTGGTTTCGTTGATGCATGAAGAAGCGCCGACGCCCATGATGGGTGTAGTACTAGCTAGGAGCCTAGATTGGTTGTCAGCGGAGTAGGGTTTTGTGTGCTGAAGGAGTGAATTTTATACATGAGAGCGTTGAGGAAGATTGGCAGGGGGGCTGCGGTGAGCGTGCTGCTTCATCCCATCAAAGATAGAACGGGACGTGTAGGGCCCGGCAACGGTTCTTTCACAGATGCTTCTGTTTTTTTTTTTTTTTGGTCCGCTAAATCCCTTGTGCCTCGCGCGTTCCTTTGTGGCGCTTTCTCCTCCGCTTATCAGAGCGTCTTCCTGCATCAGGATCTTTAATGGCCGTGCAACATTATGTCAGTCTTCTGCATCAAAGTTTGGTTAGGAAACTCCTATTTCCAAGGGACCGAGTTTCGAGCTCTTCATAAGGACTCAGACCCTCTCAAGAAAAGCTTGGAAATCGGGACATCTCAAATCCATCCCAATTTCAAGCAAGCTGACGGAGTACTCGAACCCGTATCGGTTGAGCAAGAAGCAAATCCAACCGATCAGAAAGTTTTGAGTTCGATTTAAACACGAGGTCCTACGTGCTCTGACGGAACTAAAGCGTAACAGATAATAGCTTTAACTAAACATAACCTCCTGCTTGGACACCGTAGAGCCATAAATGAAGTGCTGCAGAGTTAAAAACATTCATATTAGGAAGCAAGCTTACTGGAGCACAGTTTCTCATTCGCTATGGAAAGGAACAATACCTTCTCAAAATATATAAAGGAGGGAGAAAATCTACTTTCTCAAAACATGAGAAAATATCAAAAGGTTTCAAGTCCATAGCATTAAATATACATCAACGAGATGTTAATCTTCAAAGTCCAGTGATCCAATAATTAACATCCTTTTAATGCCATATTATATGTAATCGACTGAATCCATGGGTACTTTCTCCTAAAGTACACAACCAAGTGGCATCTTTGAAGCAAAAGTGAACGGTCTCATCCAGCAGGATGAATCACCTAGTACTCCTTTTCACAGATCTTTCAAATTGTAAGGTTAGACACAATTTTCAATATACAACTCTCAATAAACTATTTTATCCTCGGATTATTCATCCCTGTTTCATTGAACCGCATCTCAGCAAATCATCGTATAACACACCTTCAGGAAAAAAAAGAAAACAGTAGGCACTAAAAATGCATATATCCTGTTCAAGGGCGAGAACAATGGCGAGAAAAATGAACAAGAATGTTTTAGTACATTCAACGATAACTAACAAACTAACACTTGTAATAATTAATAAATAATACAAAGAAAAAGTATATGGTTTAACAAAGGGAAATGAAAAGCAACCCAACAATTGGATAGCCCAGTGTATCAGGTGATATAACATTAAGGTCCCACTATACACTGTTTCCAGGGTTCTCGTTCCAAATATAACACCACGAAACAAGTTTGCGATAGGAAAACAGAAAATAGGGAAACAAAAACAAAGGACAACTCCAGTCAAAACCCTGAGTAGAGAGCAGTGCGGGAGGATATAGAAAGGTTTAGGGCGGAGACTGATAATAATAATGCCTACACAGAGGAACCCTTTACCTAGTTCTTCACTCATCATGGGCTGTCCCTACTTGATGTACTGTGAGAGCCACTTGAAGCCATCGCCATAGCCCATCTTGCGAACGATGCTGCACATGAAAACCTCAAGGGGACGGACATTGGAGTCCACAAGATTGACTTTGCCCTTTCCGGTTGTGAAGTTGCTCAGTCCCAGGTGAAAGCGCAGCTCCTCCTCTGAAGCTGCATATGGGATGTCTATCTTGTTTCCCAGGATGAGAAATGGTACGTTTGCAAGGGAGTCATCCGAAAGGAGTGCATCCAGCTCCTTCTTCGACTCTGCAAACCTCTCCTTGTCAAATGCATCCACTAGGTAAACAACAGCGTCCACCTGCAAAAAGAAGAAACAAAATATCCAATGAGACTCAAGAATAACGACTTGAGAATAACAATGAAAATAGCGTAAATATGAGCGTGCAAATAAGTCTAAATAAGAGACACTGAGCTCAGATGCATGAGATTACTTGTGTATCAACATGATAACAATGGATCCAGTAAAACTCAAGTCATAAGATTCATCATTAAAGATATTCGACAAGCAGCAAGAAAATTTGGATGAATTCTTCACATGCATTCATGAAGGCTTACTCAATCTTAAGACACTTTTAAGGATGTATTAAAAAAACTTGTCCATAAATTCTGTATAATACTTGCCAATACGAAAGATCCTCAATTTATCATATGTTCACATACAGATTCACATAAGGTATGCAGGACCTAGCAATAAAGATTTGTTTTTATCAAATAGTACTTGGTCATTACAAAATGTAATAGAAGAACTATATGCTACTTCCAGGACTGGGATGGATAATGGATTCTTACAAGCACTAACCATCATGCTAACAACCTCAAACATATAACTTAGTGTGATAGTTTCTAAGGTAGCATAACATATTGATATGAGCGAGCAGTGGCTTAAATCAACCTCCAAACATATTGACAATTATACAGAATTGTCTAAAGACTTAGCTACCAGATGGACTTGATTACGTCTAAACAATGGCAGTGCGAAAAAAAATGCATTAGTCAACTTTATTCTCTATCTTGCAATCAATCATTTCATTAACAATCTCTCAACTAATAAACATAAGCATGGTCCAAATCATCATTCAAAAAGTTTAACTTAAAAAGCAGTAAGCAGAATGTACAATGTAGATTGTAGAGTTGGTAACTATTTGGCCTTCTTTAGGCACCCAAAAACACAAAAAAGTAAACTAGGTCAGCAGATGTCATTTCCTCACTTAGTAGCAACCCCTTTCGACTAATGATATTAAAGATCTTAGACATATCTTTTTCCTTAACACTATCTAGATTGTTTCTATATCACACAAAAAGGTTCATCACAAGTCCAAACTTCTCAACCAATAGAGAAATAGCAAGCCCTGAACAACATCATCTTACTCCACATTACATGAAAGCAAACATATTAACAATATTAGACTTGTAACACTCACCCTAGATTAGTTTGACAATTAGAAAAGAGTTAAAGTGAGTAGGAAACTCCCAATCTTTTGACTTCCTACAAAGTAAGCTTCTTGCTCATATGACAACTAACATGTCAAGCACATGCTGGTTCTCCAAAGATTACCACAGGAGAACATTCAAAGATTTCTAAAAAACAAAGAACTCAAAAGGCCTGTTTCTTTTTTCCCTCGCTATCATATTTTATTAGGTTAGTAACGCATTCCAAAAACCCTTGAGATTAGGTACTTCAGTGATAAGTGGCAACAGTTTGTAGTAACCAATGAAAAGTCAAATCAGGTGTAACAAAATAAAAAGTAGATACTTATCATAGTCAGAAGCATACATCAAGATACATCCACAGTTACTAGAACTAATAATAATAAAAATACAAAGTGAACGACCACAACCCAACTGTGCAAACTTAGCAGAAAATGGATTCAGATATCCAGGGATCTACTTTTCCAATTGAATACATATATTAATATTTAATGCCTCATCTAATCGAATCCAGAAACAGATATGGATATTCTTTTTTTAATTTTCAAATCGGATATGGATATGGACACATATATGGATATCAATACAGATTTTATTTAAAAAAAAAAGCTTTTATCCTTTCATTCAGATACTCCTCATATCAAATAAACAATAAGCCTTTGCATTTTATATTGTCTAATACATATCCATTTTTTCTCAAATGCAATCCATATCTGTATCAATACGGATCGACTACACACATTAGTACTAAAGTTACATTAATATGAAAGGGCTCATCACGTATATAAATCTCAAAAAAGTATAATTTATTTTACCTGAGTGCACAGAAGATAAAGGGAAAAATATAAGTACAAGAAATAAAGTAAGATGAGTATAGAATGATTAGATATTCAATATGCAGACAAATAGAAAACAAGGAATCAGAAACAATTTAGCACAAATCACGTCAAATATCTCTAGAGTCTAGACTTGTTTCATGCTTCTCCGCTGATAATGAACCAGATAGAAATGATTTTGCTACAGTGAATAACATATAAACATGCAACAAACTGTTTCAACACAAAACTGTTCCTAATAATTGGAATCACAACAAACAAACTCCGAAAGCCTCTACCCAAGATATTTAGAATGGGTTCAAAAGAAAGAAAGAGAAAACAACCTAAAGCAAGCTAGCTTAGAACATAAAAAACGAGTGAAATTAGTATATATGACAAATTAGAATATTTGACATTCTCATTGAACTAAACATTTTTAAAGAGAATAATAAGAAATGTCTAATTGTGGGAAAAAGGTAAGCAATATATCCTCAGGTAACATGCATAGATTCTCCATACAGTGCTTCTGAATCTAAAGTTAAGAGAATAAAAGAAAGAAAACATGCATGAACACAGTCTATGTTTGTTAAATCCAAAGAATCAAATCAAGATTAATAAACCTCTTAACAAACTAAACTTAGTTCGTACCAGCTTACTTTACTATATATTAAACCTACAAACAGAACTTTTTGCTATTAACTGATTTAAAGAAAATATCCAATTTGGGATTATGGGTAGTTAAATAATTTATGATTTTAAAAGGGGATTTTGAATGAAATATAAGCAATTATTTGACTCAAGCTAGCAACATCTTTTCACAAAGATTCAAATACACAATACAGCCCCACAACTGTCTCACAGGCTTGAACAGTTAAAAGTATATAGTAAACCTTTGGTAGGTCATTTACAATTTCTTTTTACTGAACCCAACATCATAAACTTATAAGAGTAACAAAATATAACAAAAAAAATTTAACATCAACGTCCTACAGTTTAATGCACAAGATTCATACATGGTTATGCATGCTTATGTGTTTAACAAGATGTCATTATGAAAGCTATCTTTTCAAGAAAAAATTCTACTAGCAAATACTTAATGAATTATGTCTGAAAAGTTATTCTATTCTAGCAGCAATCCTCTGAAAAAGAGTAAGATAGGCAAGCTTAAGCAAAAATACGAGGTCGAGAAGGGAATATACGAGAAGTAAGCAAAAGCAAAGTTATTTTCAAAGTTGTAATATCACAAGCTCAACAAAACAATCAGCCATAAGATGCATTGCCAGTAATGAAGCCAAATCGCAGTCCGATGGCATTTCCCTTTCCAAGAAAAAGATATGTCTTGAACATTTTTCATTTTTAAAAACACTTTCGGAAGAAACTTTTTCAAAAAAAAAAATTCTAGAATACTATTCATTCATGTACTCATAACCCACAAGGGCATCATGTCCTGAAGACATTGAAGAAGATAGACAAAAGCTATCACAAAGTACATATCAAACAATTCGCATAACTGTAAGCCTACAATGAACAAAGATCTTAAACTACCTGTAAACAAAAGCTGGATCAGATATTAAACAAACCTAATAGAGATAAGAGCAATATATACATAAAATTGGGGGAAAAGAAATGACCTTGGCGTAATAATCCTTCCAAACACGGCGCGCGATCTGGTGACCACCAAGATCAAACGCTTTGAATTTGATCTTCCCAATACTCAGCTCTTCTGACGTCGGATACTGCGTCGGTTGGTGCTGAACCAATCTCTGCTAAAAAAAAATCCCAATTTAATCCAGAAAATCAACAGCCTTTACATAAATCTCAAGAACTAAACAACAACATGAAGAAATTAACCAAAGATCTAACCTCATCCTTCAGCATATGAAGAAGCGTTGTCTTCCCAGCGTTATCGAGCCCTAAAAACAAGATCTTGGCCTCTTTCTGCCACAATCCCAAAGACGCCAGCACGCCATAGAACCAATCTACAAGAAACATCCTTGATTTCTTCGCTCGCGCGAATCCACGCGAATTCGAGGAGATAAGACCAGATCCGGCGATCAAATCGCCGGAATTCAAAGAAATTTCAGATGAAAGGGTTACAAATCTAGGATTGAGATCAGAGATCGATGGCGATCAGCTATGCCCAAGAGAGAGAATGAGGTAACGAGGAGAGAGAAAACAGCTGCTTTGAGAATGAGAAGAACTACTTGGTTACGTGTCCACTTGTCACCGGTTCTGCCGGTTGCGGGATCCGCTTGGGTGAGGGTGAACTTGTTTGTGACTGGGTATCGCCGGTTGGGGGAGCGCTGACCAATAGGAGTACGGGTATGAGGAGTGCCTCGTCATCAAATGCATGCTAACCGTTTATGAAGGATCTGACGGTTTAGATGTAGCGTAAGTGTCTCTTCGGTCTGGTGTTCTGCAAGAACAGATTAATGACGATATAATGTGAGTTGCTCGTGAAAAGAGGCTCCGAAGAATAAGCATGTTTGGTAACGGAGAATTAAATGGAGAGTGGACTCAATATTGGAAAGCAACGTCACTTTCTAACTTTTTCATATCTAACATTTAATTTAAAAAATAAAAAAAAATTGATTGAAAAGTAAATGGTGTCACAATAGCATTTTATGGCACGGTTGGCAAGCAAAAAATAAATGGAAAGTGAAAAAAAATTCAAGAAGATACTATCTTATTAGTTTTTATTTTGTAAAATCTAGGTTAGATGATAGTAAAAATAGAGAAAGATATTGTGCTAAATAATGTGGCACTTACCTTCTTTTTGTGGTTATCATGGAAAATAAAAAGTAGAAAGTGAACAAGTAAAATTAAAATGATATGTAAAAAATCTAAAAATGTATTTCATCTTTCTTCACTTTCTTTAATTTTTTGAGAAAGTGAAAGGGGTTAAGGGGCTGTTTCCAAAACGAAGGGCGTGTTTGGCACTCGGGAAGTAAATGGAAAATGCACAGAAAATCAGAAAATATAATTTTATCATATTTGGCATTTGGCAAGTGAATGAAAAGTGAAATGTCATCTTAATATTTTAGCTTATTTTACTTTATCTAAAAATTAGAGAAAGTGAACAGAAAGTGAAGAGAGAGGAGAGGAAAATATATACTTTTAGATTTCTTATGTATAATTTTAGTTTTACTCGTCAACTTTCGACTATTGCTTGCAGTGATAACTAAATAGAACAAGAAGAAAGTAATTGACGCATCCAACTTTCCCGCCTTACTTTCTAACATCCAAACAAGATTTTGCAAAAATAAAAGTAATTAAAAAGCATATTCATGAGAAAATACTTTCTATTTTTTTCACTTTCTGCTTACTTTCTGCTTACCAAACATGCCCGCTCCTAGTCATGAATGGTATAGATCATCATTTTCTATATGAATGTTTTGATAGAATTTGGACTCCGTGAATACTACTATGAGAAGTTACAACTAGATAATGGATACATGACTAACTTGACGCTACATTGGACTCACAACTCCGAATAATGTTGGACGGATTCAAAAGAAAACTCGTTTAATGATCATGATTTGAATTTAAATTATTGGTTCAATAATGGTAAGAAAATTTATAAACTAAAAGTTAGTATTTGGACCAAGCTTGCATCCCCTAAATTTGGTTTATTGGAAGCACAACCTTAAATTTCTTGGCAAGTGACGATAAATAAAGAATGTTATGCTTACAGTTGATGCCTTATTATATTGAGGTGACGTGATGCACATGATTAGGTTATTCCAACTTTAATTTACCACTAAACTCCTCTAATTTTTCTTACGATAATCGTGAACTTTAACGTGTTAGTCTTGATCGTAATCTCTGTTTAGGATTAGTTGTAGGTGAAGGAGACCGTGTAATGATTGTTAAATAAAAATGTATTCCTTCAATTGAATGTACTTGAGTGAGGAAACTATCTTGAAAACTTTCCATGTATAAAAATTAGGGAAAAATGTTTCTGTGCCCCAAAAAAATTAAAGAAATGTGTCCCAGCCCCCTCTTATTTTTCTCTTATGTTTCAGCCCTTTCACACTCTCCTAGAAATTTGTTTTTCAAAATTACCCTTCCCCTCTTCTTCTTCTTCTTCTTCTCCTCTGCCTCCTCTCCGCTCTCTTCTTCTTCTTCTCCTCCTCCTCTTCTTCTTCTCCAGACCCTTGCCCACACCCCCACCCGTCCTCCCTACCCCCTCCCCGGGCCCCGTCCCCGACCTCCTCCGCCTCCTTCGTCAATATCCCTCTGCTTAATCGATTTGGGAAGACCTTCGATTGGTCTTTGAAGCCCAACATGATGGGGATTGCTTGCACACAAGGTACAATCTTTATTAATTGAGCTTGAGTTGGAGTTTTTGAATTTGATTGAGTTTTTAAGTTCATTGTATTGGATTTTGGGCTTCCTTGTTCGATTTGTGATTAAATTGAGTGTTTTGATGTTGAATTATGTCAATGTATTGAGGATTTGATGTGGATCTGTTCTTTGTCTTGAATTCTTGCAAGCAGATGCCTGGTGAGATTTCTTGCACACAATGTGTTTGATATAATGCATTGGTAAGAAGAAATGGTTTTATTGGAGAGAATGGCTCAATCTCAGGCGTGTGTTATAATTTGATGGAATTAAACAAGATTTGAGACTGATGAAAAAAATCTATGCAAGTGAAAACCCAGAGATGATTAGTTGTTCAGAATAATAGTTTTGATTTGTCTTAGTGAGCGCATTCTGCGGTGAGAGAGGAATGGACAGTTGAAGTTTTTGATAAGGGAATGCTCTATGAAGGAGTGCCTGGAGATAGAATGGTGAAGCTTCTTCAGATTGCATTGAAGTGCATATACAAATCTGCCGATGCTCGACCAACTATGAGCCAAGTTGCCGAGATGATACATTCATTGAAGGAAGAAGAGGATAGGTCTGTTGTGTCTGAAATTGATTCAAGAGATGCTTAAAACTGGGGAGTCTGTTTTTATAATGTCCTGGAATTTATGTATATGTTCCGTTTGACTATTATTATTTGCTAGTGTATATGTGTTGGTCACATATGAGGAGGTGGAAAACATTGTTTATTTGTTACACTGATGACATATGTGATATTAGTCCAAATGGTGCTTTCAAACTCAAATTTAATAAATGAGGATGTCTATTTCTTGTTGATCACAAATTACGCCAAAATTGATCACTAAATAGACACTGATGACATATGTGATATTTGATAAACATAATTTGATTGTACTTAGATCAAAATTTAATGAAATGTATTGTGTCTATTTAGTGATTAATTTTGGTGTAATTTGTTACGATTGTATGTGGAATGTATTGTGGCTGTCATGTGAATATGTACAATTTCATTCAAATAGAACTTAATGTGCATAATAAACTGAAGATTATATATAAATTATGTTTATCAAAACCTGAATATTATAATACATAATATGTACATAATCTTGAGGTTATTGTGTACATAATAATATATACAAATCATGTACATAATCTTCAAGTTACAATACACTATTAAATCTCATTATATGTTAACTTTCTTCATAAATTATGTTAACTTTCATCATTATATGGAGCTCAAGAAACAAAGTCATCTTTGAACACTTATCTTTCTCTGTTCATTCTATCATTAACTCATCTATTGCTGCTTTATGTGAATGGGCAGGATCTGCTAGCAAGAAGAATGCTCTCAAGTTAGCACGAGCTTTAGAGGAAAATCCGATCAGAAGGAGCAGTGTTTGAAAATTTCAAGTGGGTTTTGGAAGTAGTATGTTCATATCTCATAAAACTTTTGTAATCAGTCTTTTTGGTTTTTCTAATTAGTTTATAGGAAATTTAATTTCCTAATACTATATGTATGGCCGGCTTTGGTTCTCCTTTATATCTATGTCAACGGTGAATGACGTCAAGGACATCTCTTCATCTTCATGGATATCTAGGAGAAGAAGGTTATACATCCCTAGATTGGGAAATTCCATTTTCTATCTACTAATTTATATATAAGGATACAGTTCGTATCCTTCTTTTTGTAAAGATACTTGATAGTTTATTTTTATTTAATGAACAGGGTACATCCCTTGTTTTCATCCTAACTTTCCCATCCCGAAATTAACCTTCAACCATCTTAAAATACCCTAATTCTCCCTTTAAATCGTCACATTAAATTCGTTTCCAGCATCTGGAATTTTCTCCTCCGTTACGCCATCCTCTCCGCCGAAGCCGAAGAGTTAGACGATTATCCTTCTCCGACGAAGCCGCAGCGTTACATGAATTTGCAAAGCCAAAGCTGAAGAGTTCGACGATTATCCTTCTCCGACGAAGCCGAAGCGTTACAGGAATTTGCAAAGATGTGGATTATTCGTTGGATACCCTTCTCCGTCGAAGCCGAAGCGTTACATAAATCTGCACAGATTACTATTTCTTTAGAATTTACGCAATCATGTCCAAAGTTTTCTGCAATTGGGGATTCAGTAAGGTATTTCTCTAACTATCCCCTTTTACTGCTTCAGTCCTCTCATTTTCTTCTAAAAAATTTGCACTAATTTTCGATTTCCTATAGTTTCAAGGGCCAAGGTTTTAAAAATTCCAACAGCAGCTGGATCGACATTAGAAAGTAAGTTGACTTGAGTTGAGTTCTTTAAATTTTTAGATTTTTATTTTGGTTGTGATTTATTTCCTAAATTAGTTCTGTTTTCCAGTTATAACTTATTTTTTATGTTATATGTGTTTGGGAATTGATTTCTTGTTGTGGTGTTTGATATGAAAGCTCTGATGGTGGGGAAATTTTTTTTTTTTTTTTAATTTTGAGGTTTTGAGTAGTCAATTGCTGAGTCTGATAGAGAATTCTCACGGTGGAAGAACATGTGTGCCCTTTCTTTCATTATGAATGTCAATGGTAGTATATAACTGAGTTCAGTATTAAATTGAACATATAGACATCAATTATTTTCTCTTAGATAAAATATATATAAGCATCAGCATATACTATAAAACATTCAAGGAACTATAATAACTGTTTCCAGAACTTGATTAAATAATTTGATGAATATTTCAAGTTGATCAAATGACATAAATGGTCCAGTTCGGTAACATGTCTCTCATGGAAAAGAAAACAAAAACTTGACTGAAATCACAATAGAAATAGCAGGGAAATAAGGATAAAGGCAGAGCTATACCTTCTGAAGGAACAAGAAACTTCTCCCAAAGAGGGTTCAAGTTTGTCCCAATAAATGTCCTGGAGACATATAATTTGAGAAAAAATAATATGTCCTGAGCAAATAATTGTTCGAGAAAACACGTGCATGCAATGTTTAAATCCCTATATAACAAAAATCAGAGATTCCAAAGACAATGATCTACATACAAAATACTAAAACACGTGCACTCAAGTAGAGAAATACATTTATTGCAATCAATTTCAGACAGATGAATGGAAATCAAAGTCCATGGTCAACCAATAATCTGTTTACAACTCATTAGAAAATTTTCAAATAGCACAGATATGTTCCTTATACCATGGTCAACCAATAATCTGTTTACAACTCATTAGAAAATTTTCAAATAGCACAGATATGTTCCTTATACAATCAAGTTTAATTGTTAATTCCTTCCTTACTTGAGGAAACTCTTGTCAGGACTTCTTCTATAGAATAACCATAAATTTTAAGTTGTTGCATAATTGAATGAGAAAAACTAAAAGGACATCAAACATCAGTAAAGGCGTCAAACAACTAAAAGGACTTCTTCTATAGAATAACCATAAATTTTAAGTTGTTGCATAATTAAATGAGAAAAACTAAAAGGACATCAAACAGCAGTAAAGGCGTCAAACATTTTACTATGCCTCAAATCCACATTTGATGTGGCAAAGTTTGTGATATTTTGGGACAAAGACAATGTCAGAAGAAACCACCATCATTTAGGGAAAAATATATGAGATTGTTTCTGAAGGTTTTAAATAAGTGGGTCACAAATAGTTTTATACTCCAAAGACAAGAATGCACCAATGCATGACAGATGCTTACAAGTAATTGTGGAAGTAACACTGTGTTCCTAATGAAAATGCACAAAGCAAAATATGATGCTATCTTTTGTTTCTTTAAATTCATAGCTGTCTAGCCAAAAGCTAGGACCCTACATGACCACCCAGGCTAAGCGGCAGCAGTTAAGGATTTCAAATACTCATATTCGCTGCTGTCATAGGTTTAAACATTAAGCATCCCTCCAAAATGCATTAATGTCTCTTTGACTAACAAGGCTTCAAAACCTTGCTATTAATATGTTATTCGGGATTTTTAAGATCAACAAAGTAAACTAACAACACAAATAAATTTATTTAAAAAAAGGCACCAAGGTGGCATCTGTAAACGTTTGAGAAACTATAAAAGAGTAAACAAACACTGCCAGAAAAACTATAATGGCGCATGGAGAAAAAAAAACATGAAATTACACTGAAGTTCCAACAAAGCCATAACAGCTAAGAGGAGACATAACCTGTAATCTGTCAGACCCAAGTGAAGGCAGACAGAGTATTCTTTTTCCGAGCCATCAACAGGATGCAAGGAATCTCCCCCATACTGAATTGCATTGAATAAATCATGAATATGAGAAAGAACACTGACAGAATGACACTGAAAAATTGCATATGCTCATGAATATGAGAAAGCTCAGGCAACATAAATAAAGTACATTAGAGTAAATGAAAGAATTTTGTCAGCTAAAATATAAATAAATAAGGTGTGGTAACTAGCAGTTTGTTTGGAGGAGGAACTTGACTAGGGTTAGTAAGTATAGTTCAAAGCATGCCTACAACTGATACTTGACAATAACTTTCATGGTGGAACGTTCACTCACATACAAGATCATATACCCAAAAGAGCTAAAAGCAGAGCGACCATCAATTAATCTTTTTGAAGAAATCCACTTGAAGAAATTAATTAAAGAGGACCAAGGAATGTTTATGAGATGACAGAATACAAACCTTCATAGTTCTCTCTGTGCAAGTGAATGTGAATGCCATAAAATAATTAGATATAAATTTGGGCAGAAAATGTCATAGTTCTCTCTGTGCAAGTGAATGTGAATGCCATAAAATAATTAGATATAAATTTGGGCAGAAAATGGGGAGCTGAAAAGAGTACAGGAAGAGGTAAGAGAGTTTTGAAGGAGTGATGAGAGGAGAAATCGGGCCTAATAAGGAAATATGACAGGGAAAAAGTTTTGAGATTGATATAGACGTGATTTGGATTTTTCCTGGGTATGAAAATAGATTGTTTGATTTTTTTTTATGTGAGCATCAGTTATATTATAATATAAAATCATAATTCTCAACCCTCATGTCTAAGGGACTTTAACAACATGATTCACAAGAATGCAATAGAAACAAACTGAATGCAAGAAGAGTGGAAAGGGAATAAACATACAATTGGATCAGGGGCATCAACTTGCTTGCACATAATCCATGGAACTCGAACATCAAGAGCAAGCACCAATTTTGCTGGCCATGATTTTCCTGTTGTGATTTCGGTTGTAATTATTTCCCTAAATTAGTTATTAGGTATATCAATTCTGTTTTGAACAATCTAATATCAATTGCATAAACAATAGATTAAAGATATGAATATGTTTTGTAGCCATTACTTGAGAAAACCTGTTCATTGAGTAATTATGTATGTTGTGAAAACCTGTTGTGCAATTCTCATGTAAATAATTAAACATTTTTTAAATTATGTATGTTGTCTCTGAATAATTATGTATGTTTTGTCTCTGAGTAATTATATAAGTTTTGTAATACACTATTACGTGTAGATTAAATTATTTAACATTTTTTCATATTAATGCAGATATCCTACTTGGTTGGATTTGCCTTGTTTTTTTTTAAAACATTTCTAAAGTTGTCGTTGATTCAGGTTAGTTAAGCAACTTTCTTCTCTTTTCTCTTTATTTTGTTCATAGTGATGATAACTCTATTTCCTTGAATTTATCTTCTTCTACACTTAAATATTTATTATTATTATTATTATTATATGACTTTAAAAAAAAATTAACCTTAGCATATGAGATATTTGTGATTACTAATGCATGCATAGTTTAACAAATTTCTTTAAAAAAACCTTAAGTACTATTGAACAACAAATAAAATATACTTATTCTCTTAAATTATATTCACTGCTATACTTATGTTTAATTTAATAAATCAATAATTTAACACATTAATTTTTTCCCCTGTAGAAATTTACATTCTACTTCTTGGATTGCATAATCACTATACATTTGCATAAGAGTACCTTCTTCCAAATGACTTCAAACCAAGGTTTGAATTCAACATAAATATATATTATTATTGCTTTATGTGTATTTGTGTTTATTAATAGTATATTTTATTATTTTTTAACAGAAGACCACATTCTAATACATGAGAGTAGAAACACCAAATATAATCAGTTGAATCTTGATCAGAAGAGAACTTACATTCAGAAGGTCATTGATAATAATATAAAGAGGAAAAGAAATGATTTAGCTGGCAGTAGTACCAATAGCAAGGGAAAACGCAAGATTGATTTGTTTTGTGGAGCGCAACAGCGAGAATATGAGCATGGAGATTTGTATAGATTAATTTTATAATTTATTAAAATAATTACATGATTATATATATCTAAATTTATTTAACACTAAAAACTATTATTTTTTTCTAGGTGAAATTACACATGAACCAGTATGTTCTTTATTACATAAACTACGGACTCCAAAGTCTTGTTCATTTAGTGGAGCAAAAAAGTTTGAACATGAGCCACCAACATCCTGTTGTCACAATGGTGAAATCCACCTAGCAGATGTGAAAGTTAATGACGAGTTATATGCCCTTTATACTGTACAAACCCAAGAGGCAATTGAGTTTCGAAGACAAACCAGAAAGTATAATAGCATTTTCTCATTCACATCATTTGGGGTAAGGTTTGATAGAGAACTGGCATCAAACAGAAAGGGTATTTTCACATTTAGAGCACAAGGACAAATATATCATAATCTCCCCTCTCTTATTCCAGAAGAAAATAAGCCTTCCTACTTTCAACTTTACTTTTACGATACGGAGAATGAGTTGCAAAATCGAATGGGAATATTAGATAATGCAAACATGAGTACGACTACAACTAAAAGATTGATGGATATATTAGAAGGAAACCCATATGCAAAATTTCTGCGGAAACTAAATGATTTTCCATCTATTGAAGACTTCAAGATTATTATAAATAGAGATGCTGCGGTAGATCAACGTGTTTACAACTCGCCAACAGTGGATCAGGTTGCAGCTGTCTGGGTAGAGGGAAATAATGATAATGTTCCGTATGAGAGAGAAATAGTTGTCCATTCACACTCTGGCAAGAATCATCAAGTTAAGCACTATTTTGGTTGTTATGATCCTTTACAATATCCTTTACTCTTTCCAGGCGGAGATGTTGGATAGCACCAAAATATTAAAAGAAGGCTGAAAAATGATATTCGTCGTTCAAAACAACTAAATACAACATCTCAATTGACTCAGCAAACTTTTACATCTGCAGAAGACATATTTAAACGAGAAAGGGAAGGTAAATCATAATTAAAATTGTTTAATAATATTAAAACATTAAAAATTAACTTAACCTGCAAACTTGTAGGTGTTAAAGCACCAAAGGCGGGAAGCGTCTCATGTCGAGAATATTATTGTTACAAGTTCCAGATAAGAGACACTCGACAATCTACAGTATTAACATCGGCAGGCCGTTTGTTCCATCAATATGCTGTTGATATGTACATAAATGCCCATGTTCATGTCATCGAGTTTCAAAAAAGAGGGTTGCCTCATGCACACATGTTGATTATTCTAATGGGAAAACACAAAATCGTCTCATCAGATCATTATGATAAGTACGTATCAGCAGAAATTCCAAACCAGTATGAAAATCCAATCCTATATGAACTGGTAAAAAAACATATGATGCGTGGCCCTTGTGGAGAGTTAAATATGAAGAATGTTTGCATGCAAAATGGCGAGTGTAAATATCACTACCCTAGAGAGTTTTCTCCGAGATCACTACAAGCGAAAGATGCTTACCCAGTTTATAAAAGGAGCAAAAATAACAGAACAATGTTGGTTTGAAACCAAATCCTTAATAATCAATGGGTGGTACCTTACAATCCATATTTGCTGACACGTTATAACTGTCACATCAATGTTGAAATATGCTCAGGCATAAAAGCAGTTAAATACCTTTATAAGTACATATATAAAGGCCATGATAGAGTAGCAGTAAACATTGAGTACAATGAAGGTGAAAAAGTTGTGAATGAAATCAAGAATTTTCAAGATGCAAGATGGGTATCAGCTCAGGAAGCTTTCTGGAGAATATATGAATTCCATCTTAATGAGATATTCCCGGCTGTCATTAACTTACAACTTCACATGCCAAATCATCAATATGTTTCATATTGGAAACATCAAGACCTATCAAAATTTATTCACTTGGAACATGTCTCAAAGACGATGCTTACAGAATTTTTTACTATGTGTAAAAAAATTAAAGAAGGTAACAAGAAGAAACATGAAAAGGACCATGAAAAGGAGTTATTATATGTGGAATTTCCTGAATGTTATGTTTGGGATTCAACATCAAAATCTTGGCATCCAAGAAAACAGAGACAAGTGATAGGTCGAATAAATGGGGCTAATCCAATTGAAGGAGAGAGATATTACTTGCGACTATTGCTTACTCACGTTAGGTGTCCGAAATCATTTGAAGATCTACTGACGGTAAATGGTATTCATTGCAAATCTTTCAATCAATCAGCTCAGAAATTAGGTCTTTTGGAATCTGATGATAGCATAAGAGAGTGCTTAGATAAAGCCATCATCTTCCAAATGCCAACAGCACTTCGACGTTTGTTTGCAACTATTTTGGTTCATTGTGAGCCTACAGATGTTAATCATTTGTGGGATAAATATATTGAATCATTATCTGAAGACTTCTCAAGGAAACCAAATGCTACTAGAGCTTCGGTGATACATGATACTCTTCTCAATATTAACTTCTACTTAGAGAGCATGAGAAAGGATATTAAAAATTTTGACTTGCCACCTTTACAAGCAAAAAACATTACAGAGGAAAGTTCATACACAAGAGAAATAAAAGAAGAGCTAGATGTACAAATCTCAACTGATGATCTAAATGCTGCAACAAAACTCAACTATGAACAACATACTAAATACACTACAATATTATCAAGAGTTGAAGGAAATAAAAGTGGAGTTTTCTTTATTGACGGTCCAGGAGGAACTGGGAAGACTTATTTATATCGCGCTCTACTTGCCAAAGTAAGATCACAAGGTATGATAGCTCTTGCTACAGCGACATCAGGTGTCGCAACTATAATAATGCCTGGTGGAAGAACAGCACACTCGAGATTTAAAATCAAAATCCCAACAACAGATTCATCTATATGCGGTATATCAAAGCAAGATGGGACATCAAAACTCCTTAGAATAGCTCGTTTAATAATTTGGGACGAGGCTGCTATGGCTAAACGCGTTGCAATTGAAACGTTGGATAGAACACTAAGAGATTTAATGGATAAAGATGAACCATTTGGCGGAAAAGTTATTATATTTGGTGGTGATTTTAGACAAGTTTTACCAGTTGTGCCTCGCTCAACAAGATCACAAACTATCAAAGAAAGTTTAGTAAGCTCACATTTATGGAGAAAAATGATCAAACTACAACTTTCAAAAAATATAAGAGCAAAATCAGACACAGCATTCAGTGAATTTCTTCTTAGGATTGGGAATGGAGATGAACCAACAGTAACACAGGATCTCATAAAATTGCCTACTGCAATGTTGATCCAGAATCAAGGTGATGAGCTACCGGAAGATTCTCTCATAAATTCAATTTTTCCATCTTTAGATGAAAATTTCAAGTCTATTGACTATATGAAAGATAGAGCTATCCTTACAACAAAAAATGAATATGTTGACATGTTAAATGATAGACTAATAAAAAGGTTTCCAGGAGAAGGAAAAGAATTCTATAGCTTTGATGAAGCAGTTGATGACACTAATCATCATTACCAAGAAGAATTTTTGAACACTCTGCTCCCTAATGGACTACCGCCACACAAGCTACTGTTGAAAAAATATTGTCCAATTATTTTACTAAGGAACTTGGATCCAACTAATGGACTGTGCAATGGTACAAGAATGGTATGTCAAGATTTTAACTCTAATATAATTCAAGCTAAAATCACAATGGGACAACATGCTGGGAAAGAAGTTTTCTTGCCAAGAATACCATTGTCACCAGCAGATGATGAAGGATTACCATTCAAGTTCAAACGCAAACAATTTCCCATAAGATTATGTTTTGCGATGACAATTAATAAATCCCAAAGGCAAACAATACCTAACGTAGGTATTTATCTACCTGAACCAGTATTCTCTCATGGACAATTATATGTTGCTTTATCGCGGGGTACTTCCATGATGACAACCAAGGTCTTAATAACATCAGATGGAAAATTTGCAGAAGATGGACAATACACAAAAAATATTGTATACAAGGAAGTTCTCCATCCAAACGACCACGAGGAATAATTCAAATGACCAATAACATTTTTGAAGGTTAGTAATTTATTATATAATAAGTAGATGCAATTTTTATTAAAGTTTTTTCCTTAAAATTAATTAAAAAACTTACAATTCATTAATACATCATTCAATCTGTTCATTCAAAATCATGTACTAATTAAAATTAACATAACTTTAAACATTGTAAATAAAATTATTAATTAATAGATTCAAATTACTATAATTAGTGTCACATATTTGATATAGAAATAGTCTCATTTAATTTTCTTTTTAGTTTATTTAGTACTTCAAATGCTTTGTTATTTACATATAACAAACTATTCAAAATCTTGCAGGAACGATGGCATCCACCAACGAAGCACCAATTCCACACATCCAAATACACCAACTAAAAAAATTTCAAAGAGATTGGACTATTCTTGTTGTTATCCTAAGAACTATCGAGTCATCTTATGAGAACAACAAAGGATCAGGAAAACTACTAAAATTATTTTTTGCCGACTCAGAGGTAATGTAGCAAAATTCTACATGCTATAATTCTATTGATATTTGTTGATACTTATTCTTAAATAAAGTAATACATATAATTTTTAAGTACAATATGCATAACTTTTTATCATGCCATAGCAATTGTTATTTTAAATCTATGCAAAGCCTTCTCAATTTTTTATAAATTTATAAATATAAATTTATAAATATAAATTATAAATATTAATTAAATTATAATTGTTGATGCTTATTCTTATATTAATTATTATCACCTTACTATGTATAAAATCATATAAAAAAAATTCATGCATTTATTAAATAGGTAAGCAACATGTAATTCATTTTTTACAAAGAGCTAATCCATAAAAACGATTAAATTTGTTACTTGAGATCAAATGACTTATTAGTAAGTAGTAGAAATTCTAATTCAATAACATGTGACTTTATATAAATAAGGTTAGTTTTGTTGATGAGTTAAAATGTAATTTTTTTTGGACCCGAATATTATGGATACATTTCAATCAAACCTAGGGAATGTTTATTTAAAAGTTTCCCACATAGGTATGGTTATTAATATTTGTTGATATTTGTGAGATAATATTAGTAATATTTGCAGGGAAAAAAAAATACAAGGTATTATGTTTAGAGAAACTATTGAAATGTATAAGCACATGCTTCAGAAGAATAATGTTCTTTACATCTCAAATGGAGAAGTCAAACCAATAAACCCGCTTTATGGAAATGTACATGAGTCAATTGAGTTGACATTGACTAAAAACATTTCTATCAAAGAGTCAAAAGCAGAATTTCAATTTGATAAGATATTGAATAACTTTATCTCAATCAAAGACGCAATTTCCAACGAGGATACAAGGAATATAAGTAAGTATTTGTAAACACCTTTTATTTTTAATTTATAAATTTATAAAAGAATTTTCAACTTATTATAAATTTATATGCAGATATTCTTGCAATGATAGCAAATGTCAAGCCTATGATTAAGTACGTTACAATATATAATAAGGCAGACACAAGGCGTGACATCATTATAGTAGACAAAGAGTATACATGCATGCTTTTATTTCACAATAAATTATTTATTCAAAATATAATATATTAACCTAAAATTGTCTAACTTCTCTTATACAATGACATAACATTGTCTGTAACTTTATTCGGAGATTTAGCTGTCAATGAAGGCTCAATGATTGAAGGAAATATGCATGAGACAACTATAATAGCGCTATCAGATTTCAAAATATCAATGTACAAAGGTATCATTTTTTAAATTGAATTGTAAATTAATTATCAAAAAATATCAAATACTAATTATAACTATTATATATGCAGGAGAGTTGTGCTTGACTTCGCAAATTGCTTCAACATTATTTATCAATCCTGATATACAACTTGCTAAGGACATGCAAGAATGGTAATTCAAATAAAAAAAGGTAACTTAATAAATTAAAATTTAAATATTTTTCAAATTATATGCAGGGCTCTTTCAAAAGAAAAGATCAAGACTAATGGTGCTCCGTCAAGGCTATTTAAAAATGCAACGAAAATGAATATTGGTGACATTATGCAAGCTTCACAAGAATCATCAAAGGTATGATATTAAAATTCCTACTATAAATTAGTAATGAATCTTGAGCTTACGATATAAAATAAAAATATAAATAGATATTGTTTCATTGATGTTTCAAATACATTTACAATTATTACTTTTGCATTAATTTTTAAAAAATACATTTTTTGCTATATTTTTTTAAATTATTTTAAAATTTATAATTTTTTAACTAAATATATGTAAACTACAATTATAACTAACTAAATTTTTACAAATCTACAGGCACAATATGGCAGCTTTATTGGAAAAATAAGTAATATCTTAAATAGACATGAGGCTTGGTACTACTCATGCACAGGCTGTAATAAAAAGGTTGACAAAAATATTTATGACAAATGTCAAAATTGTCAAAAAAACAATGAAGACAGTATACCGAGGTAAAGTACTATCAATTACTTATGAAATAAAAATATAAAGATTAAATATATAAATATCATCTTATGAACAATTATAATACAAAATGTAGATATGTTGTCAAAATCATAGTGGAAGACGAAACAGACAATGCAAGAGTCACACTTTTTGACGCAGCAGAAACATTGATAGGATGCGATGCTCAAAAATTCATGGATGATATAAAAGAGGTAAATTCTTACTTTATTATATTTTATACATATAAATCAATATATTTCATGTATAAGATCTTAATTTTTTCCTCATTAAAACAGAAAAAAAATCAGAGTTCATTCTTTCAAAAGTTTGTTCTCAACATCGAAAAGACATACAAGTTCTTGGTAAAGTTGGATGAGAAGTCAAAGGATGAACGTGCACAAGGAAAGATAATAGCACAAGAAATCCAAATCCAAGAGGACATCACAATCAACATTGATGATGATGATTCATTTATCGAATTACCAAAAAAGAAGATCAAGGTGGAGAAGGATTGATCAAAGGACAACAAAAATTAAACATTAATGTTTTTAATTTTTAATTACATTTACAAATTGGTTAAAGGATTTTTAATGTGCTTTTCATAGGCTTCTAAGTTTATTAATTGATGAATTAAATTTGTTAGGACAATTTATGATTTATACGCATATGCTCAGATAGTGGTTTGATAAATATTGCATGCTTTGATTGTTATTGCAGTTATTAACTTAAATTTAACATTTAATTATGTGAATCAAAATACATATTCATAGAATAGTTCACTCTATTAATTTAAATTTTCATGTCAACTATTGTTATCTTATCTATACTGCACAAAAAATTTTGTCGATGAGTCGTTCGCAAGAAAAATGATGACCAAGCACAGCTTCCCGAACCTGTTGAGAGGAAACAATAGCTTTCTTTAGATAAGGTAGCTAATTTTACAAAATTGTTATTCTAATTTATTTCTTTAAGTAGTCAAAATTTATTTTTATCTATTTTATTACATTTCCAGGTTCATACCGAAAAATGATCGTCTGGATTGGATGATATTACAACTTTAATCATGGCAGGTAAATATCAAAATGATGTTCAAAAATTTGTAAATCTAATCATATATCATCTTAAATAGATAAAAGGTTAATTAATAGAATCAATATATCTGCAGTTAACTCATCTAACCAGTGTGCTGAGCAAATAAAATTCAGAGAATAGTGGCATTCTATACCTCTTTCTTCAGAGCCTTCAGCACAATACAGATATCAAGTCCTTGATCAGGCACATCCTCTTTATGGCAAACGATAAGTTAGCCTTCGATCAATGCAAGCTACTAAACCTCCACTGTCATCAGCTTGTCATCAAGGTAACTAATTTCTTTAAGGAGCAGCACTTTACATATTAGGAACTTTACAAAGTTATGTGGCAGAGGATCCGTCTACTTGGAAATTTCAGCATTGCACCATGTTAACTAGCTGGCAGAATTGAGTGCTCATCCTGTTGGTTCAAATGCACTTGATGTTGCATTAGAGGTACTCCTTTCTTTTGATAAAATCTATTCAGTGTTGGAAAATAAATTTTATCTTTCACTTGATTATCATGTGATAGCATGAATAACCCTTATTGCCAAGTTATATTACTTTGGCAAGTTATATTACTTTATCTGACATTAAGCTCAAAGTCAGTCTAATCTTTTGAATTACATCTCAAAGAGCATTTTGTTGCTTTATCTTAATGTACTACAGAGAATTGGTGTCTGTCAGGTATCAAGACACATCTTTACCTGATTGGTAAATCTACTGAAGGCAATTGTTTCTCTGCTTATGAGAGCTTACTGGATGATCTCCTCCTTTGTGCGGTACACCTTACAGTAATTCACTCCACCTTTACTTTTTGTAGAAGAACATCTTATGATAGTCTTATCGGTGGAATATTACAGTGGGTAGATTGTTCATGGAAAGGCCTGCTCAAATATGATGTAACAATGTGTGAAACAAAGATGTTTGCTTTTTGCATAACTATACATTCTAAGTAGTGATTTAATGTTGTTTTGAATACAGTTCTTATTAAAGCCTCAATATTTGGTGTCTGTGCAGATCATTGGGGGTGAAAAGGACTTGCTTAATTTGTTTAATGATAAATGGAACTTAAGGTTCCCTGCTGAGTTTGAGAAAAATAGCCTCTAGCAATTAGGACCTTAGAAGCCAACTCATATGAAAATTCTCAGGGAGAATCTTCTATTTTGCATTGCAACTGGAGAAAAGGAGAGTTGTCAAAGTCAACTTATTACTTCGCCTGCAATTCCTATGCATGGATTATTGATTCTGGTTAATGTGAGTATATGTTGAGGTTTGTTTTTATCGTGAATAGGGATTGTATGTCGAAGTGTTTTACTTCATGTTCTCATTTACTCTGATCATTTATTTTAGATGAATCCCGTCGAGTATGGGCATATCTTTTTGGTTCCTTATGGTAAAAAGCAAAGACAAGAGTTTTGGCACAAGGAGATGTTCTATTTGATTTCACGGTTTGCAAAGGAAAACTGTAATTGTTCCCTAAAGGTCTTTTTTTTGAAAAGTTCTTCAACAACTCCATGTTATGCATATTTCCAGGTATATTACTGACCACGTTATTTTATTTTATTATTCATATGTATTTTACTAAGGAAGTCAGCATTTGGGGTTCCTAATTGATCTGAACACACACTTTTCGGATTTGTGCTTAGAAAAGATTTTTGAGAATAGTGGAAGGAGAGAACTAAGAGAACAAGGATTAATTTTTTAAAGGAGGCCTTTGAGAAACCTTTTATGATATAGGATGTTATTACAAAACTATTCTTATAGGATTCATAATGTCGAGCACAGCATTAAGGACTGGTAAGAAATAGGAATAAGCTGAGTATGGCTAATTTTTGGCTTGACCAACAAAACATGATATACACTCTTTACCATATCATAGGAATTCTCTCCCTCTTTTCTTTTTCTTTTTCTTTTTCTTTCAAACAGATAAAGATTAAAGAATATTGCATTTTAATATTATACCAAAAACCTTACAGTTTGTTGCTACCTGTGGAACAAGATGCTTACTTTGCAAACCATTTACCGGTGGAACTTCTTCCAGTTATCAATGTATATGACTGCAAGGATAACAAAGGAGTAAGCATATCTGAGCTTGCAAATTATCCTCTTAAGACATTGCTGTTTACAAGCCATAACTTGGAATCACTTGTTGGATTAGTAGGTGAAATATGCTCTATTTCATATAATTCTCTTGTGATTTAAGTGGTACACAACCTGTAATGTCTATGAACTTTTCTGACTCCATTAAGTATGAGTACAGTCTTACATGTGCTGTTTGCCTGGTAAGATATTTGCTTCCATTCTTCATAATGTTAGATGTTTACTGTTCTGTGCTTTATCTAATTTAAGAAAAAGATTATAATATTCTATTTCCACATTCCAAATATTCAGTAATTTTGAAATGCAGGTCTATTTGTAAGAGGATTTTCCTGTCCTTCTCTTTTCTAAAACCATATTTGTTTCTTCACTACTTCTCTGCAAATTTCTTTTGACCAACGGATCTTACAAATTGTGGACCTGCTATTCTACAAATTAGAGACTAGATTTGGGCTCACTTGTATGATAATCAAGGTGAAACATCCACTACAACAAAATACAACATTGCCGACGAAACAAAAACATCGGCAAATGTTTAAAAAACGTCGGGAAAAATATTTTCCGACAAAAAATACAGCGTCGCTAACGCGTCGCTAAAAGTGCGTCAAGGAATGTATTTGGCGACGCAAATACACTGCGTCGCCAAAAATACACTTTTGGCGACGCGACATGCGTCGGGAAAAGTACATCTTTTAGCGACGCATATTATTTTACGTCGGCAAAAGCATGCTGAATTTTTCCATATGCGTAATGGCGTCGGGAAATCTTGCACTTTTGGCGACGTACTTAACGTCGGCAAAGGGCAATGCGTCGGTAAAAGTATACTTTTGCCGACGCAAGATTGCGTCGCCAAAAGATATTACTTTTGGTGACAAAATATGTCATCAGCAAAAGTGTTACATTTAGCGACTAAATATAACGTCGGCAAAAGTGTTACTTTTATTGACGCTTATTGACACTAATTTGTATCGCCAAAAATAATATATTTTCTGTCAAATACAAGCCTATACTGAATCTGAACATCCACAAAAAATTTGATCCCATTCACATCAACATAAAAGTCTATTTTTTTATTTCCCCTTGAGCGCTAAAAGCGTTAATTTACAAACTTCCTCGTGCATATCCAAGTACATAAAGTCTCTCAAAAACATATTACATCAAGAAAACTAGAAACAACAATATCAAATTTGTATCATTAATTACAAAGAACAAATGGATTTGAGGAAGAACATGTCCCAGTTTAGATAGTGCATCTGCAACAATGTTTGCCTCTCGCATACAGTGTAGGACAGGAACTTGGTAGGAATGTCAGAAGCCCCATCAGCCTGACCACATTTGTTATATCGGCTGGACCAACCAAGTAGAAAAACCAAGGATACATCATTTGTCCTCTGAAGTCTGTGGTTCCGTCTCTTGTATATTTGTCTTCGTTGTCGGCCTCCATGGATCCTCCTCCTTGTATCTGAGATACTGATGCTTCTACTTCTGTGAAATTTTATGAGCAAATCACCAAATAATACCAAAAGTAAATTGTACACTGCAACAATCACAGAGCACTTGCAATAGCAGCTTTGCCTGTTTTGCATGGTGAACTTAGTTCAATTCAGTAATAAATCGATTACTCAAATGATATTCATGATCTCTGAAGGAAAGAACTTAGTACATATTTAATCTTTAGCTACTTCCTACAGTGATGCTCTTCCTAGTTTTGCGAAATATAGTCAGTAACTAACCAAACAATACCGAGAATTGCACGGTGCGTACAACAATAACAGAGGCACAGAGCTTTTACAAGTTGCATCATGGCTTGTTTTTACAGGGTGAAGGGCTGCTAGTGACTGATGATAGTAAAGAATAAGTAAGTGTCAATTCATGAAACCAATTGGGCAAATCATATTCATAATCATGATCTCTAAATGAATAATTTAAAATCTATATTGCTTGGTACACTACAAACAGCTTGACCATTTCATTTTTCTTTTTCAACAATGAATAAGTCAAGATATATAAAACTATAACAAGCTGAATGACTTCCAAAATGAAAAATAAGGATATATATATACGAGTTTATAAGCTACCTCTCACAAGAGAGACAAGTGATGGACGTGCAAACTCTTGGTAGCAGATGTGGGGAATTGCACATAATGAAATGAAATGAAATGAAGCTAATGTGGGGAATGCAACAAATGATGCAATCACTATCTCAGTTCTGATGTTCTTCACATAATGAAATGAAATTCATGAATTTCATGTATCCTTGATTCTAAGAATTGTGAAGTTACCAACTTTGTCCGGACATGAAGCTAATGTGGGGAATTGCACATATGAAGAAAGCTTTAGCCTGCATTTCATCACTTTTAATTGTTTTCAAATACTTCGTGTTATACAAAATAAGTAAACTAATTAGTGAACATATATTGTAATTTCATTAAATGAGTGTACTGAGGAAAAGCTTGAACAACTAAACAAGGAAAATTATTCTACTTCATATCTAAAGTAGAATAATTTATTTTGGTAACATGTTCAATATTTGCAGAAAATATTTTAGAAACCGTGCTTTGCACGGGTCTAAATACTAGTAAGTCTAATAATGAAAAATTAAATGCAAGTCTGACCTCATCTCGATGAGAAATCTCTACTACCACCGCTCGTTGCAGGCTGGCTACGTGCAAATAGCTGATGCACTAAAGCCACAAGATCAGCAGTCTTCTGGGCTTGTGCGTTCATCTGCTCGGCTTGTGAGGCAATCTGTTCGGTTTGTGAGGCAATCTGTTCGGCTTGCACAACTACTGTCTCCTTTAAAGCCACGACCTCAGCATACCATACCCCTTCCGGTAACCTGGCCTCCTTCCAAGTACCTCAATGGAGATCTCAAACTCATTCATCGGGGATGTAACTTCGGGCTGAGATTGTTCGATAGTCTTGTTGACTAATCGCTTCTATCATTTTTAAAGATGTAAGATCCATATCATTAATGAATAGATATAAGTTTTTTATAGATTGATTTAACAAAAGTAAATTTATAAGTTTTTTATAGATTGATTTAGCAAAAGTAAATTGGACATACGTACATAGGTATCTTGTGCTTTCTCGTTTACCCATACTTTCCTTTTTTTTTTGTAGTGGGTTTCTTTGTAAAATTCCGGAAAAGAGGGAGCTTGCTCATCATTTTTTTATTTCTGTAATTTAATAAATTTATCATTATGGTTTTTAATAACTATTTATAGTCTATTTATTTAAAAAGTAAAAACTTATAAAGCAAAACTTACGATTAGTGACATCGCTGCTGCAAATGATCAGGAACCAGATATATAATTGTAGGGCAACTTTGATCGACTCTCCTTCGCTTTATAAGATTTTGTCTAATAACCAATATAAAATATATTATTAAAATATATCACAACAAATAAAATTAACATGACAATTTAATAAAGTGATTTGAGATCTATACCTTCCATTCTTCAGTTTCCCACACATCGATCATCGATACCCAATCATTGGGCTCCACACGCTTCGTCAGACAAGAACTTTCTTGGCCACACACATTTCACATGCCCATTAATAGACCAATGAAAACGACCTCCCAATAAATCAATGGTTAAAGTATCTCTAATTTTAATGGGCTCGGGCAAGGAATTAATTTTAATTCAGAACAACAGAAAGGAGAATACTTTTACTTTTTAACTAAGGAGTTGGAAAGCATAAATAGTTGAATAAATATCCAAGTATCTCTAATTCACATAAACTCAAAACTACAAACTGAAATTCATTTTTCAGCCTAAGAACTAACGGAATTTTTTTTCCATGTAAGAAACCATTTTTATTTTCATTTTTCTCCAGAGATAAAACATGAGTTATGTTGAATACATGTTATATTCAATACTTGGAAATGATAGAACATGCAATTCAATGTTCATATGCAACATGGCACAACAAAAATGCATATAGACACATGCATGAGTACATGACTGTAGCACAAAGAAACATGTGTACTCACAAACTTAAAACATCCTATAAGAATCTTGCATGCATTCTGATTTTTAACATTGGACCAGATTCATTAACACCCCATATTCATGTCATACAAGAACTTTCTTGGCCACACACATTTCACATGCCCATTTACAGATGCCCTGCAATACAGATGCCCTGCAATGATGATAAATATGATGCTGACCTTTTCCATAAAATCTTCTGCATACCTAACTGCATACCTAACTGGTTGAATTTTCATTTAGTTTCCAAAGACACTTAGTAAACACATGAGCATTGGAACAAGCATATATTACGAAATATTTATTATCATTTGCCTTTGACGTTGAAGTGGGTTTCTGTTTGAAAGGTTTGACAACATTACATTCTGGAGGAGTAAAGAAGCAGCAGCAGAACATTCAAGCATGGAGCACAGTACAGGGTTGATACAAGCTATTATTTTTTAAGCTGCTGATCGTGATAACATTGGTGGATCTGCTTATGGTGGACAAAGGTCCATATGCTGTACACCTGATCTTGCTAAACTTGAGAGCTGCAGACATGTCTACACATACATATACACGTCTACATATATTATGTATGAGTATTTGTATAGGTATATCATATATGTATCTCCGTGTGTATACGTTTGTATGTGTATGTGTGTAAACACACATTTCAAGTCTAGCATAATCCACAAGTCATTTAATTGACTCATAGTCCATTTATGCATTATGTGCTCTCTAATTGAATGTGTAATGAAACTGTGCTGTAGAACATTGAAATTGAATAAAAAAATCATGTATCTGTTTGTTTGTATGAGTAAACATACAAACAATATTGCATGTGATTTATGGCTACATGTATCTGTTTGTATGAGTAAACATATGTAAGATTCTCTCTTATATGTATGAGAATATCTTGGAGTTCAACCAGAGCAATGGTTGCAGTCAATAAGCCAAACCCATAAAGACAGTGGTACAGACAAGACCCATGTGTTTAAAACGCAAGTAACACTCATGAATTGTATAAAATTTCTATAAAGACAGTTTTGTGTACTAAATCAAATAAAGGCACAAACACAAAGTCCAGTACTACCAATTGGATTAAAAAAAAAATCTTTGAGAAATGGAGAGTCACGCTAATGAAGAGTCTCCTTCATAAGAAATCGTGGCAGGGTAAAGGGTCCAAGCTTTCAATTGATATATCACAGAACATATAAATGATTTCTAATCTAAAGATAAAACCCCATGTAAAATTTTGATCATTTTTCTTCCCAACAAAAATTCCAACAAATAAGCAAAGCTTAACTCACCACGTTTCAAATAAATCAGCTGCACAACTTCATGTCGAAATGGCCATACTTTGTACATATTCATCGATAACAACCCAAAGTTGTCTGAAATTTTTCGAGATCTAACTCTTTGCACATTCGATCCCTCCAAAAGCTGGAATTAAAAGTAAAATACTAATTTCTAAACAAGAATCTTAATAGATAACCTATTAAATCTAAAGTGTCATCAACTAAAATGTTTTCCTTGTCCTTTAAATTTCTCATTATCTTAAATATCTACTTTTATGCCTACAAATTCTCACTGTGTTTGTGAAACCTTTACAAGGAGACAAAAAATGATGTGGATGTCAATGGTTTATGGAGCCTATCATTTCAATGAAGTACTTTGATCACAAAAATTCACAATGAGAATTATATCGAAGGTTTATATATTGTATCCTTTTCAATTGCATTTGTATTTGCATGTACCCAAAAGGAACTAGAAATAACACAAGATGCTAACATCCTTAGAATATGCACAACTACTACTAGAGTAATAGCGATACCAACATCGCTGCTTATTTTGGAACAACATAAACAATTAGCTTTTCAAATTCAATTCAATTATTGTAGGTTATAAATGCAAAAAAAAAAAATCTAAACTACTCATTAATAAGTGGTCCATGCTACTCTTTTGTACATTGTCTTGGTAAATAGTTGAGACTTGACATATAGCTGCTACTGTTGACTTTAGCAAATAAGGAGTTTACATAAGGTAGAAGAAATTAAAAGGCGTGTAGGATTTCTGTGTGTGAAGGAGTAGGATGCATGTAAGACCTTTGCCATACTCGGCCAGCAAATAAGGAGTTTACATAAGGTAGAGTTCTTCCCACCTCGTTGACTGCAAGCATAAAAGAGATTTTTAAAAAAAAAAATCTAATACTGCTGATTGCTAACGGTTATGCCAACTTCCGACTTCCTTTTCAACGTTTCAAGATTTAAATTTAAAAAAAAATTGCTATTTGCTCTCCGACAAATGATCAAATAGGTTCTTCTACCTCATTGGTACATTACCAAAGAACATAAACATGACTGAAAACATTAAACCAACGAATCAACTAATTGCTGCGGAACAAGGGCAGGAAAAATATCACCAGCTTTAGGTAGCACTGGTCTTAAGTCAAATTTATGAATCTCAGTATATACCAACAACATTAGGGCAAATTCAGTACCTTGAAATGAAAACTAATAAGATACCAAAAAAAATTAGGGCAAATTCAGTACCTTGAAATGTTCCTGCAGCTCGATCTCACGATCCTCCTCGTTGAGCGGGATGAGGAGGAGGAGAGGCGGCGAGATCCGACGGAGGCGGCGGTGAACTTCGACGAAGGCGGCGATGAACTTCGACGGAGGCAGCGAACTCCGATTAGCGAACGCTGATAAACAAAGAACCATCGTAAAAAATGTAAACTTTAGCAACGCGGAGGAACGTCGGGAAAAGAATACTTTTAGCGACGCTAGCCTAATACGTCGCGATAAATACACACTATTAGCGACGCTAATTTTAAAACGTCGCTAAAAAGCAATACTTTTACCGACGAAAATAAAAAAACGTCGCGAAATCCATAACTTTTACCGACGCTAAGTTAAAACGTCGCTAAAAATATACACTTTTAGCGACGCTAATTATAAACGTCGGGAAATATATATTTTTTGGCGACGCTAACTAAAAGCGTCGTGAAAAACATAATTTTTGGCGACGTTTTTAACCATGCGTCGGGAATAAGCGTCGGGAAAAGTGTAATTTGTTGTAGTGATCAATCTTTAAAATTGACATTAATAATTGAGATGGATATAGGATACTGTAATGATGAGGAACGGATTTAACACTTTTCTGCATCGTCCGAAATTTTAGCAACATGGAATGTATATTACAGATACTTCCAGCAGCCAAAAAAAAATGCTTAAGCAAAATTACAATTATATGACTTTGCACTCTTAAAGTCACTTCCTTAATTAATATGCAAGCTAATAGAAGAGGTAGTCACATATATACATTAAATAGTTTCAGGCGGGTGAATCATGATTTGCAAACTTTTGAATCTGGTGTTTTCTTTCATTATTCAAGCTAAATGTGAGCAATTAAGTTAATCTCTATAATTTACAAGGTCTATAACACTTTCTGGGCAATTGTAGGTTAGTGGCATGAAAAGCACCAAGGTCTGACTTTTATAAGGGTAAAGTTTCATTTACCCCTGCACTGGTCCTTCGGTTGAATACCCAACCTATTAAGTTTGAATGTCTTACAAGCTTAGATGCATTACTGAAGTTCAGTTGCCACTACCATCCTTTCATTCTAATCTTTTCTTTCAGTATTCAAGCTAAATGTGAGCAATTAAGTTAATCTCTATAATTTACAAGGTCTATAACACTTTCTGGGCAATTGTAGGTTAGTGGCATGAAAAGCACCAAGGTCTGACTTTTATAAGGGTAAAGTTTCATTTACCCCTGCACTGGTCCTTCGGTTGAATACCCAACCTATTAAGTTTGAATGTCTTACAAGCTTAGATGCATTACTGAAGTTCAGTTGCCACTACCATCCTTTCATTCTAATCCAGGAAAAGCATATTTGCAGCAACACGCATGAACTAAATAGACAAGCTCCAAAAGGGAAGAACCACTGGATAAATTGCATATATGAAACATCGCCAAACGTTTTCTAATTGATAATGAACAACTTCTGAGAGGAGAGAACAACCACAAACAATGAGTATACACATGACACTTTCTTCTATTTCTACCTTTTGATTGACGACAAACACAGGCGCTCAAACATAGAGAAGTAAAATGCATGTATGTGATAGTTTGTTGTTAAGCAGGATCTGTCTGTGCGTAAGACCTTTCTTCATGTTTCATTTGAAACACCTATCAAGGTGTGTGTATTGACGGCAGCATAATGATGTTTCATTTGTTTTGCAATTAACTACTTTATTAAAGGTGAAATTATGTAGTTTATTAAACTGCATGCAAGTTTTTCTTAAAAAAATTTGTCTTTTTTTGCTATTATCTTTGTTCTTTTTGGTGTATAATAACTAATGCTTTAATGTACATGCTTTAGGTCCAAAAGAACAGTGACATTAATTCCTTTGTAAAGCAGCAACCAAAATACGCTTTAGTTTATTAATAGCTCCTAAATTTAGAAACTTAAGCACATAACAACTAATGCTTTAATGTATTGTCTGACAATTTGTTAAAACATTATGTATAAGTTT